TGAAGACACATAGCCCCATATGATATTTATAAAGGTGATCTGCAGGTTAAAGTGTCAAATGCAACTAATCAATACTTATAAATTAAAAATAAGCTCCTGCTGCACTCTACGCCAATGTGTAAATGTCAGCGCAGAATAACAGAGGAGGAAAACAAGGAGGTTCACAGAGAAACATGCATCAAAATCCAAATACAACTGATTTTTTTTGTCACCTTTATGATAGTAAAACTTATTTAATGTGGAATGAATTTGGTTTGGGATAATGTGTTGATATTTTAAATGTAAGAGTCATTCTTTTCTAAGTCCAAAGGAAGAAACGTGGCATAGAAATGCATCATATTATTCTGCTCTGCTGAATTACATCCAAAGAACGACCATGGAAAAGACACAAGAAGCTCACAGAAAACAGATTAATCGCAACAATACTCATGCGTTCATTCAGGATGGGCATGGGTCCATGGAAATTATGTAAATGGGAGCTTCATCCAACGTTCTCTGGCTCGGAAATATCTTTGGCTTTTATACCATCATTGTTGGAATGACGGCAAACGCACAGCTGGATTTGTGCACCGTGCGCATAGGTTACAGCACAAAGGATAAGCTCCGCACGGAAAAGGATGCAGATGAGGTCTAGTTATTTGTGGCTTTGAAGTACGCTGTCATATGCAAACAATTGCACGGTAACGCTCAGATGCTATATAGTTTCATGCCAGTTTGTCTCAGCGTGTATTCAGAAACATCTGTTGCTGCTGCCTTTATGGTCCCATTCACATTATTCATGACGCAGTTAGGAAGAGCGGATCATTACGAAGGTACTGTGCATTCTGAAACTTATTACATTTTTCTTCGTATTACTTTTATCTGCAACTTGAACTTCATGTAATGACAGAGCAAGAAACATAAGACATATCCTAGTGTTTGTATGCAATGTTCTTTAAAACTGTGCATTACATATCTAGATTTATTGCTATTGCTATGATGATGTGCATACCTGCTGCAATCAAATGTAATGAAGGCAGACAGAATTAGATTTAAAGTTTAAATGTAAGCTTACAGTTACAGTTTTTTCTCCTAATAAATGTTTATTGTTTTTTAGCACCAGCCCACTCAGAGCTCACATCCTCGTCTCCATTTATGGGGGAAATATTCTACTTTTCCTTGGAAAACACATACAGTTGTACGTAAATATGCCATGATTTTGTGATATTACCATATATTTATTTTAACTTCATCTTTTTAAATAATAAAGGGGGGGATTGGAATCCCTTTAAACTCCTGAGTTTATCGAGTGTTCAGTTTTCATCCTTTCTGAACACACGCAACTGCCAAAAGATATTACTTCGTTCTATAAATTTGGGAAAGCAATTTAGGGAAAACGTATTCAATCACTAATTTTGAATACAGTGCCAAAAGTAGCGATCTAAAGCCAGAATGTGCCAGGACAAGAGCTCCTTATATTATTGGCTTTCTGTTCACATATTTGCCTTAGGCTGATATCTGTTTTCAGCCCTAAAAGATAAACTGAAAATCCAACAGATAAATAATCAAGTGTACAAATGACAAACGCATCAATGTCATGGAAGTGTTTCAGCAGCAGGCTGAGTCTTCGTAGCTAAACCTGTGTACGGCAATTTGATTCTGATTCTTAATAAGCTGAGGAGAGGTAGGCTGGATAACATTTCCTCTGAGGTTAACTAGGTGTGACTGAGAATTCCTGCTGATCTAATTGAAATAACGGGCAGATAGAACCAATCACCTACTGTGAAGGGTAAAAACGTGAGTTTATTACCGAAGTGGCTGAACATTGCTCTTGGGCAAAGAGTCGTCAACTGGCTTGAGTAAGTGAAGAGAGATAATTAGATGTGAGCAGAGGTGGAGCACTTTATCCAGTACAAGCTTAAACGTGTAAGTCAAGCCAAAAAGAAACTATGAAACTGCTGCACTGAAGTTGTAGGACTGGAGTTCTGCTACTTATTCACGATACCTCATCCGTTCCACTGACCAATGGAAAGTCTGGTATTTTGTGACCACATGGGAGTCGCCGAGATTACAAGCAGACACGCTGTAGTCATCAGTGTCACGAGATTCAGGTGTGAATTGGTGTGAAACCAGAAGGACGTCCAGATGACCTTTATAACATTTCAGGAAGCTGATGAGACATTAAGGATGCCTCAGCCACTCTGGGCTACATTGGAGAAAGGAGGGAAAGGAGAGCGATGCTGTCAACAGCAAATAGCTGGAACCAGATGTACAACAACCCTTTCATTATTTTACTGTAATGCTGATAAGAGGAAACCTTCATTTTGCCATCTTTGCTCCTTCACACTGCAACCAATCAACCCAGGTCAATGCCACCTCAGGCTGTACTATCAGGTAGCATGCTGGGGTTCACGAGTCATAGGTGTGGCGTTGCAGCACAACAACAGAAGTGTCTGGTAGGTCAGTTGGCTTTCCCTTTCACAAACACTGATGTGGCTCTATGACAACCTCTACTGCCAGCTTAAAGACGCAACAATTCCCCCACATTTTATCTCTTACACACAAAACATCAACACAGAAAGAAGATGCAACAGACATGCCTTAAGCAGACTTGCTAAAAAGAAAAAGAAAAAACACCTATATATAGTATCCCTACACTCAATCAACATCTGGACCTGTGTTACAGATGTTTTGTGACCACATGCAAACATTTGTGATTTCACTATGAACCTACAGAGGTAGCACTGTGTCAGAGTCTACGGATCAACAGTCCTGGGATGTGAAGGATTATCACTGGTGATAAAAACTGCATGTACAGCAATGACTCAGAGACCAAACAACAGCCGTGGAAGAGCCTGCCGTATACAAGAATAAAGAAGGTGCATGTGATCGGGGGGGGCACCACAAGGATATTTGTCCTTTTCTTTGACATTTGTGTCCCAGACTCAGACTGCCAATGCAGAGTTCTACTGTAATGTCCTGAGGTATCTGAGAGAGAATATCTGAACCTGACCTGTAGCACAACAGACATTGGGTGCTCTGTCAAGATTCTCAAAGCATGCATGTTTTTGTGTTGCACCAACCAATCCCTGCTTTCTACCAGCACTACTTGCTAGATTTCACTCCTTGCTACTTCTTCAAGTTAAATGATTGCTGATGGAGTTTGACACACTTACAGAAAGTGACCTCCAGAGAGTTCCATGTGTGGCAGGAGAGCTGGGAGCAGTGTATCACTACACAAGGGGACTATATGAAGGGGAACAGTGACCAAATTTAAATCACATACAGGTTTTATTGTTCATAGGTGGTGACTTTGAACTTTCTGAACACACCCTGTGTCATTCTTTTATTGGAGTTGTTGTTTTATTTTCCTGTGTGATTTATATGTGTGACGTACCATTTCATTTAGCAGTCTGAAGTAAACAACGCACTGAACTAAATCAGTGACTACTTTTCATTAATAGCTGCGATATCAGAGGGAAGAAAAGGTATCGATGTGCAATCAGGTAATTAAGGGTGGATTGGAATTTTTAGCTGAGGCCATATAAATAGCTACGTGGGAGTGGAAAACAGGCACTTATACATGTGTTCAGATCCATAATGATTCGCATTTAGCACACAAAACCCAGCAGAAGCACAGATTTCTAAGGCCAGTATTATACTTTCCAAGCACGCATGGGTTCGCTATGGTCGGCATGACGTAAGTTTCCTCATCTCCCCATGAGGTCCACATGGTCACTACGCTACAAGGTCTGCTGTGCATGTATGTAACAAAATCCTTCCAGCGGAATAAGACAGCAAGTCCCTGGCATCTGCAGATGTCCTTGTGTGGGTCCCCAAGGGAATCAAGACTTAAATCCGACTGCGTATGCATGCCTTCAGCTTTGTGTATATGCATGGCTTTAGTGAATAAATCAATAGAATCTTGTGCATCTGGCCCCTGGTGTTGTAGTCTCTTTGTCCTTTCCAGTAAAGGCTTCTGCAAATAAACCTCTACAGTTTATTTGCACGTCATTCGCAGCACTACTCTGTTTTTCCAGCGTGTTTACAAGTGAGTCCTTTAACCTGAGTCACCTGTATTGTAAACAGATCACCATCTGTCAGTTCTGCATTGCCCTTTTCTGGAGGATTTTTTTTTTTTTTTGCTTGTTGTTGGTTTTGACATCGAAATGCCAGAGATTCCTCAGCAGCCAGGTAGTTCAGGTTCATTTCATCTTGACACTGTCAGTGGCTGGATGAATGACATTCATCTATATAGCCTCAAGCTTGAATTCGTATTTACTTGAGCCCAACTGGATGCGATGGAGCTCCTCAGTGTCTGAACTACACTTGGCATATTTGACCATTTTCAGGGCCATTGGTGTCAAAAACACCTCTTCAATCATGGATAAATAACCTGTTTTCCTAAAGGTTTATTCCTGGCGTGGAGTGAAAGATGAAAAATCATCTTGAAGTGGTTTTCGAAATGTATTATTGATGTTTTCATTTAATGAGGGGAAGAAAGGTGACATCCAGATATATCAGGCCTCTTATTCTATTTTCTCTCTATCAGAGGGAAGTTGAACAAGTGGCAGGTGTTTATGACAACAGACGTCTAGGGCTTTAATTAAATTAGTCGTCACATCGTCGAAGATTCACATTTTAATGGTGGTGTGCATAAAATTCACTGTCTAATGTCGACTCAGTTCAAATTACCTACCAACAGCACTGTCACTCAATGAATGCTTACAGAGATGCGGTTCCCATATGATTGCTAGACGCTGCCTCCAAAGCAACGTTATTAATGTCAAGAGGAAAAAAAAATGATGCATTCTCTCTAGACATGCAAAGTTAATAAATCTTCTCCACAAACGGGGGAGCGAAACCCATGGAGATGACTGTGTTGTCATTTACTCAACTCGCGCTCCGCTTTGTTGTCCCAGTTTGAATTTTCTGACTCACAAAAGCATACGAGCGTACCCCAGCATCCTAAAGATGATTTCATTAACTCATGATACGCACTGTATAACTGCAGCACTGACCTGACCCAGCAGCTCAGGCAGCCCCAGCACTTGTCCTGTGAACACTCCCAAGCAGATCAGGATGGAGTTAAACTGGCCAATGGAGCCTCTGATGTGTCTCGGGGAAATTTCTCCCAGGTACATGGGGAGGGCACTGAGAGCTATACCTGTTAGGGAAAAAAATATATATGGATTACAATCTGGAAAATACACACAACAGAATCATCTTTATGTTGCCTGAACACTCCTTTAGGCAACGGAAAAATGCGGCTACAAACCAGGGAGGGATCTATTCACAAGTTATGTCTTTTATCTTTAGCATTCAGCAGTCTGTAAAAACATACTTTCTGGTTCTTTAAGTCGGTCTGTTTTGTTTTACCAGGGAAATGCACAAGCGCAGACAAACCAAAAGCCCACATCGCACTGACATGTGGCCGCATTTCACAGTTCACTGTGGGACATTGTGGTGGGCACTTATATAGATGGTCTGTGCATTGGAAATGGACAGTGGTGATTGAACAGCTATTCCTCAGACAGCTTTGGCACAAATCAATTTCCACCGTTTACAAATTGTCAACAAGTGATCGTGCTCTTCGGTGAATGGGTATATTTTTCCAGGAGCACAGATGCTCTGTCTACTGTTCTTAAATCTGTTTTTTCCCAAACTTAACTACTCCAGGTAAATTCAGTGGTAAGCACTTGTAATGACAGTTTATTACCAAAGACTTGCCTGAGGACATTAGTGCTGCATGTTTTGTGCTCAACAGATGTGGAAAATGAGCGAGTTTTACTTGCAGGTTTTAAATTTCTGCTTAACAATTTGTTGCAGCTGTTCTGGTCTCGCTAAATTGTGTACTTTTTCTACAATGACAGATGAATAATCGCTGACGTTTGGCTCTAAATCTGTCGTTGGAGACAAGCAACGAGGAGGGAAAGTAATCAAAGCCTCAATTACTTACTGATTACAAATGACCGGAGAATTCAGATTTGACGAGCGAACTCATCTCTGCCAACTCTAATAGATTTTCCTGTTTCCTTGGAGTGATGTTATATGACAATCCTATTCATCTGTATGACATTCCTTTATTTATTCATTTTTGCAGGAAGAAAATCTTTGCTCAACAAAGCTCTTCAGAAATTAGGCTGTAAAAATTGATCATTTTTGAAGGTCTTCGTGAAAAAAGAGCATTTTTAACGAGTTAACAGTGTTTCTCTGAGGTGGTGTTCACTAACTTAGTATAAAAGCTTTTCTGAGACAGTAGATTCAACACCTACCAGAGTCCACCCCCATAATGAGCCGGCCAATGATGAGCATCTCAAAAGATCTTGACTTCTCCCCCAACGACAGCATCAGAGCAGCTATTATAGCAAAGATGTTATTCAGCAGCAAGGTTCCCTTTCTAAGAGAAAAGAATATATGAAAACGTCAGAGAACATCCACCCTATATACATTAAAAATAGATTTTATGCAACTCCAAATCTATTTCAAAGGTTCTTCATTCAGTTACAGAAGAGTCACTGAGGGTCTGTCAAAGCATTTCAGCAAGGTGGTCTGGAGCAAAGAAAGAAAATAGCAGAGGTGAGAATATTCTAAAAAGCCTTTTCAAAAAGAGTAATTGAAAATGGTCTTTGTGGCTTCAAGAGGATAAAAGGAGGAAAGGATGTCGACAATTCTTCAGGGCCAGCAGAGCATAAAAATCTGTTCAATAGAGAATTCTGATAATGAATACAGGATCATTTCAAATGTACTTTTATGTATTTGAAAAAATACTGAATGGTGCAGTGTGTAAAGAAAAATTTACACGTGGACAAAATTGTTGGTACCCCTCAGTTAATGAGAGAAAAACCCACAATGGTCACAGAAATAACTTGAATCTGACAAAAGTAATAACAAATAAAAGTTCGATGAAAATTCACCAATGAAAATCAGACATTGCTTTTGAACCGTGGTTTAATAGAAGTATTTTTTAAAAAATAAACTCATGAAACAGGCCTGGACTAAAATGATGGTACCCTTAACTTAATATTTTGTTGCACAACCTTTTGAGGCAATCAAACGATTTCTGTAACTGTCAGTAAGACTTCTGAACCTCTCAGCAGGGTATTCTGGCCCGCTCCTCATGAGCAGACTGGTCCGATTGTCTCAGGTTTGAAGGGTGCCTTCTCCTGATGGCATGTTTCAGCTTCTTCCACAGATGTTCAATGGGATTTAGATCAGGGCTCATAGAAGGCCACTTCAGAATAGTCCAATGTTTTCCTCTTAGCCATTCTTGGGTGTTTGCAACTGTGTGTTTTGGGTCATTATCCTGTTGTAACACCCATGACCTGCGTCTGAGACCAAGCTTTCTGACACTGGGCAGCACATTTCTCTCTAGAATACCTTGATAGTCTTGAGATTTCATTGTACCTGCACAGATTCAAGACACCCTGTGCCAGATGCAGCAAAGCAGCCCCAGAACATAACAGAGCCTCCTCCATGTTTTACAGGAGGGACAGTGTTCTGTTCTTGACATGCTTCATTTTTGCATCTATGAACATAGAGCTGATGGGCCTTGCCAAAAAGTTCCAGTTTTGTCTCGTCTGTCCATAGGACATTCTCCCAGAAGCTTTGTGGCTTGTCAACATGCAGTTTGGCAAATTCCAGTCTGGCTTTTTTTTGGTGGTGTGATCTGACACTGATGTACCTGATGTTCACCTTTAATGTCTTCACAGGTTGTTTTGGGCTCCTTTGTTACCATTCATATTATCCATCTCTTCGATTTGTCATCAGTTTGCCACATCCAGGGTTGGATACAGTCCCATGGATCTTACATTTCTGAATAATATGTGCAGCTGTAGTCACAGGAACATCAAGCTGCTTGGAGATGGTCTTATAGCCTTTACCTTTAACATGTTTGTCTATAATTTTCTTTCTAATCTCCTGAGACAACTCTCTCCTTGGGTTCCTCTGGTCCATGTTTAGTGTGGTACACACCATGTCACCAAACAGCACAGTGACGACTTGTAACCCTATAAATAGGACAACTGACTGATTACAAGTTTGTAGACACCTGTGATGCTAATTAGAGGACACACCTTGATTGATTATGTCCCTATGCTCACATTATTTTCATTACTTTTCTAGGGGTACCATCATTTTAGTCCAGGCCTGTTTCATGAGTTCATTTTTTTAAATAATTCTGTTGAACTACGGTTCAAAAGCAATGTCTGATTTTCATTGCTTAATTTTCATAGAATTTTTATTTATTATTACTTTTGTCAGATTCAAGTTATTTCTGTGACCGTTGTGGGTTTTTCTTTCATTTCATTTCTTTCATTTATTATAGTATATTAAGAACAGCAATATATATTTATGTATATATGTTTCAATGAGCGCATGAAACAGTGAGAGCATTTTATTATCACCCTTTGGTCAGAAGGTCACAGAAGGACATAGTGTATTACATCAACAGAGGTCTTTCAGATGACCTGAAGACCAAACTGAATCATTGCTTCTCCTCCTCAAGTGATGCTTCAAAGACACTGAAGCTAACAGATAGTTCAGACAGTTTTCAAAGAGGTCTCCTGTCCGAAATTGTAAGATGGTCAACAACATACCATGTGGAAAGTGTGCCAGAGTAAACATAAAAGTTCTGACAGTAAGTTCAGTTTCCCCACATGTGTGCACAGCGTTTCACAACGAGAACACACAATGGCACTTACGTCATATTTACACTTTGCAGCAGCTCCGTCACTGGCCTGCGACCTCCAATAACCTGGTAAATATCACTTCCCTTCAACGCCTAAATTACCCTTTAAAACCTCAAAAAAGTGTGACATTCATCTTTTTTTGCTGACTGGACATCTCCTTCCTCCTCAAGGCCCAAGTATTTCTAAGAAATCATCTTTTCTTTTGTATTTTTGTATTTGAAGATTGACCATGGACTTCCTCATTGCTAGATTCTGTGTGACTGAATCAAAACCAACTGAAGTGTGTGAAGAGAATATTTAAAAGCTGGTAAAATTGATATGACGTTAAAAAAAAAGAGACACAATGTTGGTGTTGGTGAAGTTTATGAGAAAAAGCTTTTCACAACAGATTTAAAAGGGAAAGTTTTTTTTCACTGATTACCTGAAAATGTTGACTTAACATTCACACTGACATCAAATTACGCATTGCACATCTGCAATAGTCAAGGTTTTCTTCCTATAATATCTAAATCACAGCCCACACTCTAAAAAGTCATTTAAGAACTTATAGACACCACTTCACTGGTAAACTCAAGTTGATGTAACTGTGTAATAATAAATATGTAAAAATGTTTGGACTAAAACTTGCCTTGACAAAAGCCACAGCATTGTCAAATGGCAATTTAAATAATTCAACACAACAACAATATATAGACTTCAGTTGTCAATCTTAGATATTTACAGTTGTTTGCATGATGTACAGGTTTCATAATTAGGGATGAAAGTAAGTGGTTTTTATTAGGCGGAGGTGTAAACCTGTTTAAAGGGAGTGCTTCCTCTCCACTGTCACAAAATTTCTTTCTTACAGGGAAAGTTTGGATCTTATATTTAAATGAAAAGTAATCTTAATTCTCTTGTGGAAAGTACTTTCGAGGAGCAGCTTGTGGTGTTTAAACAAAAAACACTAAATAAACTGGACTACCAATCTAACATGACTTTTTAAATCAATATCATGTCTCTTTCAATCCACAAATGAACAGATTATCACAATGATTACAAATGTTTGTGTTTTGTGACACGTTAATGTGATTGCATTTTAGCTTGTTGAAAAGAAAAAGAAGTCTTAGATGTTTACACTGACTGTCAACTAGAAATTGATGTTAAATACGTGGTTGGCACTCACTGGGAGAATATATATATATATATATATATATATGTGTGTGTGTGTGTGTGTGTGTGTGTGTGAGGCTTTAAAGTTTTAGCTGGTCTAGATTGTTTAACTAAATAATAACTAGTAATGTGACCGGTGTCCATCGGTGATATAAGGAAACTTTATTCAGAGTAGTTGTTGCAAGACTTAAAAGTTTCATTGTCCAAGTTCAAAGGAGAAAAGTATGTTTTCCCTATTAATTTCCCGCTGTTGTAGAGAGGTGGTCAATAAACATACTTGAGACTGTCTCAAGAGCAGGGTGAGACTGAAGTGATGGCATCTTCACTCAGCTTTGAAAAACCAGCCACACACACAACAGCAGCAGCATCTTAACCGCCGCTGTTTGTTTTGTTACAGAGCTGAATGCTTTTCTCTTGTTTCGCTGTTTAGATCAACTAGCAAATCTAAAAATTCAGGTAAGCACATTTGTGTAGCGTTTATGTGATGTCCCAATCATGGAAAGTATTTCTGTGATGAAATATTCAGACATCACAACTTAAAAAAAATAAAAGAATAAAAAGAATAAAAAGAATTTCGTGTGACTGGCAAACTTTTAATGAACCGCTTGGTAACCCTTTGAAGAACTTGGATTGCTCCATGTATCCTCATCTGCTAATATATATTCAACTCATCTCCGTGACATCTGAATTTCAACCTTTGCAAGACTCTGTGTAAAACTACCAGCTGGCCCACAGATGCCCAGCAGAGAATATGGAAGGAGAATGAATAATCTGTTTCTGTCCAATCAACACAGTGAGGATCGCCACCTGAGATGTCCAAAGGTGAATCCTGAGGTTGTCCTAATTGTCTGAAATGACTCCAAATAAGAGCTTCATAAGTCTTTCCTTGCTCTGAAAGTGACATCCTCATCATTAGCGGATAATAGATTCTTTTGAACATATATTATTTCAGAGCACTGAGGTGATTTTGTCAGTGCTTGACTCTGTCCCTGGAGGGAACAAGGACATGCAGCTCTGCAGTCCTGCACCAAGGCGTAGGAAAAAAAAAAAACTCAGCTGGGCCGAAACCTGAGAAACTCATCACTCTGGCAGCGAGATTGGATCTTACAGCGCGGAATAAGTTGTCAAACCACTACTCTTCAGTCGGAAGCAAATCAATTTCTCCATCTGTCCTCACACATTTTTGTCTTTAGTGTTTATCTCTGGATGAACTCTTACTTTGTCTATCAGTTATTGAAAAAAATTCCTCGGTCAATCCCATTATAAAACACAAGGTTACATGATAATGCTGAATGGAGGCTAAAGAACAACAATGAGACACCACAACTGTGTCTACAATCACTTTTTTTACTGCCAGGCGTCTCACTGATGGACATAAATCACACGTCTTACACCCAGGAGACTGGAGCTGGAGTCTAGTCTGGAACCATTATTCTTGTGGTATCTTCTGACTTGACTTTCATTCTGACTTTTTAGTTGCTTCACAAACAACTACTTTGTCAAAAGATCGTGGTTTGAGTTATTTAAAAAAAATAATAAAACACCTTTTTCGCTATGTTGTCCACATGTTATGAAGCTGCATTTTTTAGGCTTCCGGGCTGAGATTTTACATGTACTTATAGCACAAGACGTTCCCAAAGTAATCTGGGTCAATTTCTGTTTATCACTGATTAAAATGGATGATAGTGCACCTCCTGACCTGTATCTACGTGCATGAGAGTGTTTATGGCCCATTTCTATGGCCGTGATTGTACCTAATAATTTATTCAGCTGATAACGTCTAAACTGGGTTCACCTTTACGGCCAAACCTTTTATCTGATCATCTGATCTAAAAAACTGAGCCCCAGCTAAGCCTGAGGCACGTTCGTGATATTTTAAAGCCTGTTTTACATGCAAAATCAGCATCCTCGTGTCCCAGGGCAGTGAGAGACCTACGTAATAATAAACACCTGCAAGTGAACTCACCTTCCAAATGCTTTGAGAATTGAAGAGGCTGACAGAGCCCCGACGAGGCCTCCAATAGAAAATATGGACACTGTGATGGACCAGAAGAGGGTGACTGTCTCCGCTGGAATAGGCTCCCCATACCGCTCAGTCCACGTCTTATTGTAGAAAGCTTTAATGTACTGTAACACAAGAGAAACAAGAGAGAGACATAATTCTTACTTTATACTAGCTCTTCTAATTCAAAATGTGAGACAAGAACTTACCATTACGCAATTAAGTATGTGCATGGACAGGTCATCAGTCTATCACAGGGCTACACTTAGAGACAGACAACCAAGCACACTCACATTCACACCTACAGACAATTTAGAATCACCAATTAACCTCGACATGTTTTTGGACTGTGTGGGAGGAAGCCGGAGAACCCAGAGAGAACCCACACTGCACGGGGAGAACATGGAGACTCCACGCAGAAAGATCCCGGTGTCCCCACCGGGACGCGAACCGGCAACCTTCTTGCTGCGAGGCAACAGTGCTACCAAATGCGCCACCCTGCAGCCCCTGAATATGATATAATATAATAATATAAAAAGCAACTGTTCAGAAAAGTAGAAACTCCTACTTATTTAAGGGTGTAAACATTTGGTGCCATTTACAAATTAAATCTGTTTTAGTGCCTTAATGTACTAATGCTAACACTATTCTGCATACACTGTAGTTTTTCAAGTGCCAGTAAGTCATTTGATATAATTGCAAACACTTTACATTTCTAAATGTGATTTGGTAACAGTAAAGAGCAAACTGAGTGACGAGAATACGGTGTGTGAAATAATCAGCAATCGTCTAAAAGCACTCAAAGTTTTGCCTGAAGTGTCCTCATCACAGACCATCAAAACAAATCCCCTTTCTATTATATTTTAATCCTTCATTTCACAACTGCTACCTTGATGAAATATCAAACAACCCCAAAAAATAAATTAAAAATGTGAACAGGCGATGCTGAAAACAGAGACGGCCCTGGTCCCACAGTCCCAAATCGTTGTCTGCTGCGGCTCAGGAGTAATAAGGCTGTGCTTGCAAGCGTCATGCAGAACAGTAATCAGTTGCCAACTTTGTTTAGCACTGGACTGAAAAATATTTGATGTGACTTCAGAGCTCTGGAAAGATTAGATTATTTTTGTTGTATGCTGAAGCCAGAAAAAGGAGGAGGGAGGGTGTCACATTCCACTGACTCCGACGTGGTTTTCATCACCGTCCTCCCCATGTTTACCGGCTGATCAGCCGATTCACGTGATACGAGTAAATATTTACCAAGGATATTACTTCGTCACTCTCTACAAACGTACAATAGCTCAATTGGTGATGTGTTTCCAGAATTTCCTCTAAAATGTGGTCCTGACCTGCATCATTTCCTCCAACGAATATGCTCACGTGCAGATAAAAAACACAAAGCTACCAGACGGATAATGTGCAGAATCATTTAAATTGTGTTAGTTTCTTTGCTACAAGTCATTAATCAGCTTCCCACTTTCCCTACCCAGCCATTATTGTGTATGGAAGATTTAAAATGCGGTCACATATAGACTACATACCGTATAGCTCATATAGTTGATGAAGTATAAGTAAGTATAAATCCATACAAGGATTTATTACTTTGTGTAATGATCTTTCCTTTTGTCCCGCTGCACAGCGAGACTAACCCCGTGAACCCATGCATGTGTGAGCATGCAAAAAAGCTGATTAGAAACCCAGTGAATGCCTAGAAAATGGCTTTGTGAAGAGATATTTAGCTGAGTAAATTGGATTTCTGCAGAAGAGTAACCAGTGACGCCTAATGGCTAAATCCCCATCATCTCGCCATTGATTGGGAAGCCGAATTAAGAGTAAGTGAATAGCAAGTGTCGTCCCTTCTTTCTCGGTGGAAGGCCAGAATATAAGGCGCCGGTCTAAATCGAGTGCCTAATCACATATTTAATGCCCGATATCTTAAGAGCTACATACTTGTTAGAATATTTAACAGTTCATATCACGTTCTTTGCTCATATTTTCAGAAGGACACGGCTGGAGGTAGTCCTGCTGTGCACTGGGAAAACTGAAGGTTCAATTATCTCATAGGCTCTCAGTAGAAACAACTGTAGTTTTAGCAGAGTGTTACCAAACGGGTTGATTAAGCCTTTCGTAAAGTGGAGCAAGCACTCTAATAAACTTTGGCTTTGTAGTCAACCTGTCTTTCTCTGTCATTCATTGCCAGCTGAGCTCAGACTGAGAACATACAGCGAGTTCATTCATGGGCATATTTGGATAACATACATTAAAAAGAGGGAATGTGCTTATTGATTTAGTTTTGTAAAGACAGCAGGAGCAGCAGTGAATCCCTATGGAGAAGACAGCGCTGCATCAGCGTTCATCTTGTGCTCCCAGTGGGCAAAAGCCATGAAGGAGAATGAACAATGAGCAACGGTTCAACATGCACATAAACTGCAGAATTAGCTGCATGTGCTAAGGACCAGGTTGGGTTTTTGTGCAAACAACATTTTAATGGTTCATTCAGTTTTTACCCACTGAGCTTTTCTAAACCACTTCTTTGGACTTTTTGTTTCACCGTATTCTTTTATGTTCTATGTATTTAACAACACCATTATTTCCATGCGTTGAGAAAAAAAATGAAAGCACAAAGGAACATTTTGAGCCCAAAGAAGGGTGACCTATTTGAAATGTTAAAATTAAAGTCACCGCCTGGATGGTGCAGTGTGAGAGTCAGGTGCAAATACAATCGACCTGTTTTAGTGTCTAATAAAGTCTGAGCCGAGAGTGCACAGACAGGATCTAGAGAGGACTCAGTGTTAACTGCCCATAAGTAGGTTGGCGGTAAGAAATTTAGGGGACATCTGGGAGGTCATTCGTGTAAAGTGTTTACACACAATAAACCACTTGGGTACTGCTACAGCAGTTACTACAGAATAGAAAAGGGTGTGTTTTGCAGAAGAGAAAGAGTCCATTACTGGCCCCTTTTAGAAATAATAAAAGGCAAGGAAGCATGGCCGAAAAAAATGTACACTTAGTGAGGACACCTGGGAGTTTGTTTGTCACTGGGGGCCAATAAACACATATTAGTCCTAGCAATGCATTTCTTTGTGATTCTGACCAGCAAATACAATTTTAATGAGGGCTTTTTCTGAACACTTACAGCTCTCTGTCACTTGCCTATAATAGGAGATAATGGGCGAATATTTATGAGAAAAAGTATGGTTCTGCACTGTAAATACTGTATGGCAAAGCATTAGGGAAAACCAGGACTGATCCTGGAAATCACGCTGTTGCCAATTAGACTCAGAGGTCAAAACTGCAAGGTTTCCTCTCTGTCTTTTATCCCTCATTTCCCAACGGAATTCACCTCTCCAATCATGACTGGCATTGTAATGTCTGGTTGGCTCATTTCATACAGAGAAGATTTAATTAAAAGAAGAACCCCACTGTTCTGTAACCGCATTGTTCTCTCGTGACTCCAGTGAAGAAATGGCAAAGGGTTTTAAAAAAATAATAATCTTGTTACTAGGCTCTAATTTAGTACATGAAAGCTGCTGGCAATATAACAAGTTGTAGGTCAAACACCATGGCTTTGAACATACAGGAGACAACAGAGGTGAGAACACTCCTGTGCAATATCACTTAAATGTCAAATGATTTGAAATTGTGTCGCCTCTCAGTAGCTGCATTATTTACAAGTTGAGCACTAAGATATGTGCTCGTATGTGAAATTAAAGTCTAGTAGTTTAGATCTAAAAATACAGGCACCCACAGTTCGAAGTTGATGCAACAAAAGTCAGTTCAGCTTTTATTACTGAGATCCAAATCTCTTCTTTTTTCAATACTTTGTATATCTACCTTTATTTTCGATGACAGACTCAACTTTTCTCGGATACTAGTGTTGAACATGTTACACATTTTCTGCTGAGATGCTCTTCTATACTTCTGAGAGAGGTTGTGTTGCTCTACCTTTCTCATAAAAATACCCCAAAGGTGTTCTGTTGGATTCAGGTGACTTGTGTGTCCTAGTCATAGTTCTTTTTTTTCCCCTATCTTTAGAAGCTCTTGTGTGATTTGTATCATTATCATGCTGGAATATTCCTTTGCTGCCAAGCTTCTGACAAGACATTCATGAAATATTCAACAAATGTCATCTCCTCAACATCATTTGCGCTCATGCAGCCTCATATCATCCCACTCCCACCTCCGTGCTTCACTGTCAGGGCTGTGTATTCACTGTGGTAATTCTGACCAGGTTCATGCCAAAAATGTTGGACTGCATCTGAGATGGCGAAATTTATCTTGGTCTCGTATGACCGTCAGGCTTTTTTTTTTATGTTCTTTGGCAAAGTTCTATCTTGCTATTTTGTGTCAAAGACCATTTGGTTGCCAACCATAGAGGTAGATAGATAGAGTGCCCTTCACATTGTCTGAGCTGTCACAAAAATTCTAATTTACAATGATAACCCCTGTGCCAAGTCTGAAGCACCTGCCCATCTGTTTTCAGAGCTACATTGTGCAGGTAGTACACTGGCTGTGGCCTCAGTTTAGAAGGAGAGAAACTGCAGCTCTGATTAGTGGCACTATGGCTCATTTTATACCTCTCGATGTTCCAACAGCGTTATCACTGATTTTTAGTCACCGGTTTTCCTATATGTCTTTCCATCTTGGGAAGCCTCACAATCAGATATTTTAATTCTTCCGGCAATTCTTTTGTGGAGCCAAAACTAAGAAAGTTCTGGTCATTTTACAACCATGTTCATGCTGTTAAGCTCATTAGAAATAGTTTTGTTTCCACTTAGTTTTGTTTTCGTGATGACAAATTTTCTAACTTGTGTGTCATTTATTTATTCATTTAATCATTTTATTGCTCCCACAAAGGAAAAACTGTCATTTGTATATCCCAGCTTGATGCTTTATTTTGCTTCATAATCGACTTTTGAAATTCTGCAGTGACTGAAAGGTGATACAATTTTGAATCATTTGAGATTTAGGTGACATCTCGCAGGGTTTTAGTCATTTCTGTTGCACGCTATAATTCTTTCTTAATGTTACTGTGAGAACACCTAACAAATACCGTGCAGTGTGATACCTCAACTAAGCAATACATTACAAAACATTCCAGTATCACATCTTGATAAAAATTATGGTAAAGTGTGAGAATCATTTTTTAGGTAACCTCTTGCCTACATTTTACGTGATTAAAGGTTTTAGGGAACAATTTTTGTTTGACACTGAGGTTGTTCTACCTTTATTTTGCTTTTAATCCACAGTGTCAAATTACACAGAAAATGTGTTCTTTTACTTTACATTGGATTTCCACTTCGTACAGACAGTGAAGAAAAGAAAAGAAAAGAAAAGAAAAGAAAAGAAAAGAAAAGAAAAGAAAAGAAAAGAAAAGACCATCAATCACTTCTTAATATGAGTGATGAGGTCCTACACCATCTTCTACCAATGTTCTGCCAATTTCTTTTCTTTCTTTCAAGTCACGTCTGTTAAGGAAATACTGCTGTGTCTTCAAGCATTTGAACACACTGTGCACAGGAATAATGTAGCTTCAATACATCGCTCAGCCAGCACAATCATGTCAGTTCACTGACCCAGCATGTAGTTTGCAGTTAGTGTTACACGCGTCACAAATGAATGTGTCACAGCTAGAATCATGACAGCCAACGCTGAGCCACAGTTCCAGTTATAGTTTTTATCAATCAGCCAAGGCAGTAGATGAAAAGATGAAATGTGTGTTTTCTACATCATCTCCTGCACTTGTATGGGCAACCGCAGAGCTGAGGATTGTAACGTGTGAATGCTAATTGAATGACCTGTGAGGCATCTTATTACCTCTGAACAAACACGTGGCTAGATTGGAAAGCATGACCTCTAAAAAAAAAAGGAAAAAAAGAAGTGGTTTCTCATCCAAAAGTGGTGCCACTGAAGTGGACTGGTACATAAAAGCTACTGAAAATTTCAATTTCAGTTGCAACAATCAAAGAGGATTCACAGGCTGGGAAAATGTCTAGTCTAGTCCAAGAAATGCTGAATACACGCAGAAGTCTTTTTCTGAAGCTTTCTTTTGATGGGAGGCCGTTTGCTGTGTCCTTTCAGTAAACACACAATCATTTTAATTACATTGGCCTCATCACTGTCTGGAACTTCATATGTAATCAAAACAAACAGTGACGCAAAACCTCTGACCACATTTGTACAAAAAAGAAATGCAAATTTCGAGATCAGAAGTTCTGCTGTATTTGCATCAATGTGGGAAGAAAATCCTTCAGCGCAACAAAACGTTGCGGTTACTGAGGTACATCTAATTATAGAGTATAAACCAGATTTCACTAAGCAACAGGTGGGCCATTTAATCTAAACTGACAAAGCTTCAAGTTACATATTTTCTGTTGTTCTTTTAACAGAACTAGTATATCGTATGTATGTGTGGTTTAATATGTACATGTATTTGGCTGCACAGCAGGTTGAGGTTCACCTGTTTCTGTTGAATGTGTGTGCAAACAGAGAAACAGTGAAACCATTAAGCTAGCAGAACACTACATCATGCATTGTGGTAAGCAAACAGAACATTATTTTACCCAAAAACATGTGGTAGTGTCCAGCAATCACATAGCAAATGATATATATGAAAAAGTAATGCATTGGGATTCAGCACAACAACAACAGTGTCTTCAAATTCTGCTAACATGTGTGCATTTCAGATAATCCCTTCAAAACGGGACACAATTAAGAAGCTATCATCACTAAATTCTTGATTAATCAATCATGGGAATATTGAAACCTGGTTTCTGAATGACCTTCTAAATGAATGTGTATTGATTTCTAGTGGTGCAAATGGAAATCAATGCTGGTTCGCTTCCAAGAAAAGCTGACAAGTCGGCCAAACAGTTTGACTCACCACAGCAGGAGCATTGACCACAGAGAGGTTGTAGCCGTAAAGGAAAGATGAGCCCAGGGCACCGAAGAAGGCTGCGCTGAAGAGGCAGGCTGTGACCGTCTGCTAATGAGAGAGAGCAAACAAAACAGAGAGATTCAGGCCAGTAATGCAAACACAGGCCTCGTCTGTGACGGTCACGTTGACGCGGATCAATGTCAAGGTCAGACCTAACCAAGGGAAATCAACAGAGGACATTATATCTAAGTCCAGGTATTTAAGGCTAGGAAAGTGGGTTATCCCCTTCATTTTACCCTTGAGAAGGTCACTGCCTAAAAAAACACAAACAGTCCAGTGACAAGTTTATGGTGGAGTGTGGCTGCTCTGTTTGGTGCAGGAGTAAAGACTAGTAATCAAAAAACTGTTTTTTTTACAAGACCTTTTAGGGAGATGAAATTGCAAAAACCTACAGGTGGGTGACAAATTAAAGGAAAAACTTAAATGTCGTGTCTTAGGAGAATATTGGGCCACCAGTACCACCAATGCACCATGGGATTGAATCTGCAGTAAGTCTATAGGAGAGATGAACACCGTCCTTTCAAAACATATTCCCGTATTTCTGTTTTTTCAATTATGGTGATTGAACCCTGTTTTTCACAAGTACTGAAGTTGTAATCTCCTAACTGCACATGCCATAGCCTATGCGGGGATGCAAATAACTTTTTTTCAGTGGGTTCCTCAGGTAAGCCTTTTCCTTCTTAAAATCTACTCAAACGAATTAATCGATTAACAGAATAGTTGGGAACTGATCGATTAATCCTTGCAGCTTTAGTATAATCTTAAATTCCAGGTCTGATAAGGCTGTAAACTTTCTTTGGCTACAACTATCCGATTACAAGAAAAGTTTGACAACGAATAAGAATCAGGAAGACACGAGTCGTGCGCGTTTTTGCTTCATGGAAGACGAGGAGGAAAGTCTTCCACAGAGCTCGTCCTTGTTCTTCATTAAGCGTCGCCATCCAGCAAACAGCCGGCAGGAAATTTATCCTCGACTGCCTTGTTTTTTGGCATTAGCTTGCGCCATGTGCTCCTTGCTCTTTGCGTGCTGGTCAAATAGACAGTGATTAAAACGCACTGAACCTGTCTGGAGCGCAGCTGTTGCGTCCGCTTGATGTGGATGCAAGCGGCAAATCTTGCGCCACATGTCAGCCAAACAAACAAAAAAAAACTCCTTTCTTCTATCAAAGTAGCTGCTTGATGTCTGTTGTTTTCTTGGACATCTCCCCAGTTGGCTACTCCATTGTGTTCATTACCTGGCCTTCAGGTACGCGCTGCGGCACTCCTGATATTACCATTTTTTGTTGCGCATGCGTGCCTGTTACGCGCGTCCTTGCACAGCATTGGATTCACCCCATTTTCATACTCATTGTGTTTGAATGTTTGTCACAGCATAAAGGTGGACACTCAGAGCAGCTTTGTGTTGCTCTGCAGTGATACTTTCCTCAAGTGGATCCAAACCTTTCTCACAAAACGCCCCCCCACTGCAGAACCAAGCCCCCAGATCCCCTCACTGTAGGGGTCGGGCATTCAGGTTTTGCTTTCATCACCTCTCTGTAGACTTCATTATTGCTTTCAAAGGATGCTAGGAATTAGAAGACTGGAAAACTGAAGTGTGAAGCCCCAAAAGCTGTTAATTAAACTCCATAATAGAAAACAGCAGGACACTACACAAACAGAAAGTGTGCTACTTGGAGAGCTTCAGCGCGTAAGGGGTTAAAATCAGAAACTTTATCCTAAGGGTGGCACAGGAGGAAAGGCCAGAGAGTCATTAAATTTAAACCATATTTTCCCTCGGGAGAAGGATGGTGCTTAACAGATTTTATGGCATGATTTCATTATGACATATCCTGTGTGCAAAGTTGACATTTAGGGCAGAAGATGGTGCAGAGTAATAATTGAAAGAGTTCTGCTCTGGAGAGCATCCATATGTTGTGATTTTTATGTCAGTCTGCCCAGAAGATTTGATTATTTCTTGTGTAGAAGTTGAAACACCGGGCTCATTGTAAAAACAGACGATGGGTTGTGGGATGAAGAGCTACTGGGAGTCATCCTCTGGGGGCTGAATATACCAAATATGAGGGCCAACTAGTTGTTATATACTGCTCTGGAAAAACTTGGATAGACTAAATAAATATTTTCAAATCGGCTGAAATGGAAGTTTAAGTAAACAGAAGTTTACAGTTTAACAGGAAACTCTAACCGTCACTCCAAAGCAGCAGATCACACTGTTAGACACATCCACCGGCAGCCAGTTTGGAGACAATTCAGACGGTGTCAGAAATTTACAGCATGCAGACTTTAGAATTAAGCTCAAAGCACTGCTGTGCTTAAATATAGCCTCACAGAGCCGCCGGTATAATCTTGTTATAAGATATGAGGACAAAATTTCAAAACAATGAGTTCATAGAGTTTCTTTTTAGGAAAACTAATCCTGATTCAAAGTGCAATTTTCCTCTCATAACTTGAACATATTATATTGAGACTTAGAATAAAACTGTGTTAAATCACCTCCCTGAAAGACAATCAGCTCTTTCTTGTACGTGCGTATCATACATAGGTAAGTGAAGATCAAATCTTGTTTTATTTTTGTAAGTATCGCACCACAGGCGGGAGCAGCAGCCTGAGAGCACGGATACATGATCCAGTACATCAGGACAAAATACAGTGGGCCTGATGTGAGGAAGAGTTAAGACAAATAATGGTGGACTGTTAAAAGGCTAAAGGAGAAGAAAATGAAGGCAGTGTTAAGGATTGGACATCATAATGAAAAGCATAGATTTGTATATGGTGATGACAGAGAGGAAAAAGAAAGCACTCAAAGACTCAAAGCATCTTCTTAACTTTATAAGATGTGTGATCAGATGATTTATTAGTAATAAGAAAATAAATCTAATTGAAATAAATTAGGCACTTGTGGCTATGTAAAGGGGAGGAGTTCTAATCTGCCTTAAGCTGCTTAGTAATGAAAGAAAGAGAAACTAAAAGGAACCACATCTCAATAACCGAAGGTCAGCAGTTTGCTACTACAAACTATTTTTATTCATTTTCAACAAACTTGGAAGAAATCCATCAACATCCTATAAAGAAGTGCTGAGTAAAGGCCGTGTTATGTCATTGTTGCTTCTGCCCCTGTATCTTTTCTCCATTTTGAAAAGGTGAAAGCTCACGAGTAATAGTATGCTAGCAAAAATGCGCTTGTAACAGACGTCGTGGCAGAGCTCTGGCCCAGTGGAGTCCCTCTTTTCATTTGCATAAATGTAACAGCATCTGCTTCACCACGCTCGCTGTGCATGATGATGGATTCCCAAGAGTCGGCTTAAAGCTAATCCTACAGACTTTGAAAAAGGCATGAGAGTGAGCATCAGGAGGTTATAGTATCGCTGAGACTATGGAGGTGTGTATACTGAAGAACATTTAGGGGAAAAAAAGAAAACAACTAATCCAGGCATTTGCCTTGCAGGATCTAGTCCTGTACAGATAAATGCAGGAAGTGCTGGTATGGTAATCCTGAAGATATGAAAATAATAAACCAAACACACCCATTGGTGGACTGAGTGCACCGTACAGGGTATACACGACAGAGCAACAAAATGAGCTGTACTCAACCCTCGACACTTTAATCTCCTGTTTTTTACCGCACACTTTAGCTTTTTTTTTTATATTGAAACATGCACAGTTTACTAACAGGACAGAGGTATATAAAAAATCTGTCCTCGTTTACCTAACCTCCCCAGCATGTAAGGCCATGTGCTCAGTTTAGCAATCGCCATGTAGTCACTCTGCACAGTTAAGCAATCTGTGAGTATGAATTTCCACATGATTGTTCTTTCTTCTACCATGTGACCCGTGCGAGGGCTCTCTGCCGGCCAATAGCTCCAGGTCTCTTTCTTAACTGTCCTGCCCGAGGAAATCAAGTCGGCTAAGTCTGTGCTCTCTTTTAAGACACTTCTTAAAACGCATTTTTATCTCAGAGCTTTTCCTGATTTATTAAGTTTTATGTTTTCTAGCTTCTTGCTTTTTGTGTGTGCTTTCTACTTTTATCAATTATTCTGTATGCTTGTTGCATTTTAGTTTTCATTTATTTTACTGAAAAGCACTTTGTAACATTTGTTTTGAAAAGTGCTCTATAAATAAAGTTTTTTATTATTATTATATTTATTGTTAACTGTGACCCTACAGAGAATGGAGAAACTACACTCTATACACTACAAAGAACAATATTAACCCTTTATTGAGCAAGGTCACATATATGGTAACAGGCTTTAAAAATTGCAGGGGGCAGAATCATGTGACCTCATCCAGCCAATCAACGAAGGTCAGGCTACATCACAACACAGTCACTGTGACCTCTGACCAATCACGAGTGAGCCAGATGATAATTGGACACAAGTGTCATAAGTTCTATGAGTCTGACTGATGATTTGGAAATAAATGTTCAATCATCCTTATATGTTTATTTTTCCACATATTATTTTACCCTAGGCGGGCGAGGAATCATGTAAGGTAACTGCTTTGACTTTGATTTGCAGCCAAAATCGAAAACTTTTTTCGGAAGTCAAAATGGAAAAATGTTGAAAGTGTTGAAATTTTAAATTTGCAAGTATTTCAATGAGCGCCCTCTGAAGGGGTAAAAAGCTAAAGGGGAGTTTCAAAATGTATACAGCATTCAACATCCTCTGTCCATAGAACCTCTGGCGGGAAGCACACAAATGTGATTTCAATATTCAACAGAAAATAAGCAGAATCGCAACAACCCGCAGAGGTTTTTTGTTTGTTTGTTTTTAAGAGTCAAATTAATTCAAGTTTAAATGAATTAATTAAATGTTTGGAGATCGGATTATACAGCACATTTGCAGAGAGGAAATGTGGCACCATCACAGCTCACAAAGGCAAACACTTTTTACATGACTACAATTTATGCATCTGTGCACACTGTGTTGAAAGAATATACAGGTAAGAAGACACAGTACCCCTTCTTGACAGCAGTTTTTCAACATAGATGTAGAAATATGCAGATGAAGCTGTATGGAAATATCTTTAGTGGGACCTTGATCAGGTAGGACAAATAAAAAGTGCAGTCCAGGACTTTGGAGTGCTGTATTGTTGACTAGTTGGATGTTATCAATGAAACTGGCACAGTAAAGGCGGCGAGACCAAAGCTGCAGCGCTGATGTTTGCACATTCACTCATGAGGCAATTGGAGTGAGTGAATACTGTGCACTGATTGTTTTAATAAGTCATCATTAATACACATATAAAGACACCGAAAATAAAAAGTGAGATATTCTGTGTGTACTCCATCAAAAAAATCTTAAAACCCATGAACCCTGAATTACTTTCTTTTTGTATGGCATACTTTTTATGATGGTAAATCTGCTAATTGTGTTTGAAACTTATCTGATGATTGCTATTATATCCTCAGTTCAGTTTTCTGGCGATACTTAAATCTAATGTTGATGTGATTTTAGCACAAATAGTGACAAGGGTCCCTGTGTCAGCAGCAGGTGAAAAGCAGGATTTTGGGAAACAGGACAGAAAAGAGCGTTATGTATAAATTACAAAGGTCATGTACATATTTACTGAGATGTAGCACAGTCACTAAAACATCCTGCCCGTACATACGCCATACACCACACGTTGATGTATGACATAAGAGGCAAATAGCGAGAGCAGCCGTGACCTACAGGGTGCTCATGAGGACATGCCAATCCATCCATCAAACCAATCCAATTTATCACAAGAGAGATCAAATCAGATCATTTGGAACCTGTCATGTCCAACGAACAAGGCATAAATAATTCAGTGAGTTAATTATACTAACCTTCCCAGCGTTTTTCTCAGAGTTTCCCATCTTGTAGTCATTTTGTTTGCCCATGTTCAAGTTTCAGCAACCTTAAAAGAGAGGGTCACATTATATCACATGAGGCATTTATTTCACACAGACGACTCATAGTAAGACAAGACGTGTTTTTCAGCAAGGATGGGGAAGTGGAATATCCTGTGAAACTACTGAGTGAGTCTCATCATCTGCTTGATAAGGAAGTGACAGAACCTCTGTGTGCTGACAGATGAAAATACACAGGGTTATAGATCAAGACTTGGTCATAAATTCAGGATTAACATTTCAAATGATAATGGCATTACAGTCAAATTAGGTTTCTAACATGCAAAGATCAACGTCTGAAGTGTTGGATTTTCACCCAATTTGCCAACAAAAAAAAGAAACACAAAGGTTCATGTTTGTCCCGACACACAAAGTGGGATTCCACAACTGTGGCCGAGTGTATCAGATAGCTGAGCAAAGACTGAGTCTGCCACCTAGTGGCTGTAAAAGCAGCAACACGAAGAAACACTGGACAACAGAAGAAGTGGTAGGCTCAAAATTAGTGTCAATGTACACCAGTGGCTGAGTTTCTATCAATACGGACATTGCAGGGACTGTCAAACTGTTGTTTTTTTAAATAAAGTTGTGTTATGGGAATTTTGGACAAACAGAGGACATCATCCAGAAATAAACATTTCATGTGCTACTAATAGGAGTCAGAGTTGTCTGCTACTGATGAGTTCCTCTCCTACCGCAAAGTTAATTAGCATTCAGTCAGGTTCTGGAAAGTAAACGAGTCCTTGATTAGATGTGAATAAAAAATCACAGCAGGACTCTGTATCCTGATGAGTTGGATTAAAAATCACAGCTGTGGAGTGAATTCTTTAGAAGACACATTAGACATTAAAATGTTGTATTAACACGTAATGAATGATTACTTCAACTAATTGATTAAAACAATACTGTGATGTACACAAGTTTCCATCTTGATGTTGAAGTTGTTACACCACTAAATACTATTATTTTTAATGCAGTTCAAATTTAATCTTTTTTTTTTTATTTTATTTTAGGGTATATATACAAAGTTTTTAAGGTTTTGTTGCAGCCTACAGTTTCAGTGCTTTAAAATTAATTTTAAAAAAAACATTTGCAATTTGTCTTCACTAATTTGCTCCCACTATTTTAGCTCCAGTATCATATATTGAATGTAAAAGGTCATAAATGATTGCACACATATACATCTTACATTGAGCAACAACTGCTAACTGTGAGAAGCAGCTGAAAGCCTCAAAGAACTGGTACACTGACTGAGAGTTAGGATTTATTTGTCTTGTTAGATTTAATACGCTGTACATGTGCGATAATATTCATACAAAATAGGGACTTTATCAGACATGAGACGAAATGCATGGCTAGCGTGAGAATTTCTTTGTGCATGAGAATTATTAATTATTATTATTATTATTATTATTATTATTATGTTATTGAATTTCCCTTCTGGGATAAATAAAGTATTTTTCATTTCATTTCAATTTAGCATCCCATTTGCAGTAACTATAATTGTGCATGTGCTAAGCAACTGTAGAGCGTTTCTTTAGACTGACAGCTGTCTCTTGTTTGTTTAACTTGCACCAGAAGCTGGAAGTTATCAGGAACTATGGGTGTTGACTTTAGGAAACCTCTCTGTCATCTCTGTGATCAGACTAGATCTGACCCTGATGTTACCTAAAAGATCATTTCTCAATGCAAAAATTTGGATTTCAGAGTACCTGGTCTTAGGACATACAAAGTAATTTGATTACTTTCTCTCAGACTGCCACAGAGTTCCTACAAGTCTTTCAAGCTATTAACTATACTGTTTCATGATGTGCTGATGATGTTCGACGAAAGCAGACTTTCACATTCTCTGCTCACTTTTAACCAGCATTATGCAGCAAATAAGCAAAAATATATCCACACAGAGAATGACAGAAACAGTAAGAAGCTACTTGACTCTTAATTACTCCAGTGCTGTAGGCTGCAGGTGGCTGTAGGTAAAACACTCCTACTTTAAACTCGTCTTTCAAGGAGAAACATTTCAGCCCTATACAGGTTTAAAATATGGCTGGGAGAACAGCATCTTTACAGAAACTACATATCACAGCACACTTTGAAACTTGTCAAATCACTGCTGCAGCAAACCCAGTTGTCTATGCATATGCATTTTTTAGAGCCACTCTGCAAGGCTCATAAAATACATTTTAAACAAACCACTATTAATGACTTACATGTACAAACAGAAGGCAGACTCAACCACTAAAACTACAAACATAACCTGAAACTAAGGACACTCTCAGACTGATTAACAGGTTCATTCCTACAGGAACTTACACTTGGTAACAATTAAATCCGAGCTTTTTTTTTAAAAAATGTTGCTGTTGCACTGCCATGCACAATATGACAGCAAACTCGATCACGTGTTACACGATCATCCACATTGATGATTGAAACTCAAATGAGAAACGATAAGATAAATGAGACGACGATAAGGTACTTGTATTTATGATGCAGTCAAAGTTCCTATGTTGCCAGCTCTACTGTAAATGTGTAGGATTAAAAACATTAAAAAATGCAGGTACTGATTATGATATTATACCCAAAATATAGCCTCTGTGGTGAGTTATGTATCATCTCAGTGCTGTATGTAGTACTATCTGTCTAAGACCATTCCTATGCTCAGACTAATTACAAAGTAGTCATCTTTACTTTGCATTCATTGTCATATTCCACTACCTAACCCATTTTCCATCCCAAAAAGCCAACAGTTTCAAACAATCTTACTACTTCTCTGCATTGCAACTGACCACAATGCAACAAAAATGGATAAGTGTCAGCACTTCTGCTTAACTGTTACGATTCTGCTAAAATCTAACATCTGAAACGATTGTTTGGTGCAAAAACGGCAGAGCACGACTTTGAGAATCAAAATGTAACATAAAACCACAGAAATACCACTAAGTGAAAAGTATCACCATGGGTGCACTTACCTAAGGACAGGTTGTGCTTTCGGTGCATGCAGGGCGACTACTGCCCGAACATTACCGAGACATAACTGTGATAACAACACAGAGAAATGATTAACCTCAACGAGTCCCTCCCTCTGTCTCCGTGTCTCCAGATCTTATGTCATCATAACAGTCTGAGGTCAGCTACACTGCAGACAAGAGCGACATGAACTACACTTGTGTGTTAGTCGATATTATTGCCCTGGAGAGAAAAAACAAAGCATTACCCCGAGATGTCCTCTGTCCTGCTGTAACCACTGTTTTATTAAACATGACCAGATTCACTAATGAGGGCAAAGTTTCCACAATTAATCAGATTTAATTAACTTTTAAAGAAGTACCTCACAGAGCACAGGGATGGTTTTAATATAAAAACAAAGGACACCAACGTTACTTCATTAAGAGGTACATGTATTCAGCGAGCAGGTTGATTGTTCGGTCAGATTTCTTGCATTAAAGAACTTGTGCTCTGAGGAACACCACATGTTGCAGGACAAAGTATTCACACATTACAACAAATTCTCACATATGCTGTAAATCCCATATGATTAAACATCCATCCATTATCTTTACACCGCTTAATCCTCACTGTGGTCGTGAGATGATTAAAAAGTCCTGGAACGTAACATTAAAAAAGAAATTAGTGGTTTCACTTTTCAGCATGCTGCAGTGATATACAGGCAGGAGCATATCGAGCTTTTTCGCAGCCCTGTGTTAATCTTGCTAAGGGCCCACTCCTCCCTATTTCAAGACGTCATGAACACACCAAGTCTACATCATATTCACAAACTACTTTTTACTCCTAACTTATCTTACTTCGCGGAACATAGACACAGTGTTAATTTCAAAATCAAAACAAACAGGCAAATGATCAAATCTGATAAAATATGAACAATAACATGCCACATCTGATGTACAATTAGAAGCAATGAAAGCATTCCCCTCCCTGCACTAAGTCCTGCCTTAATCTGACATTTGAACACAACAATATAGCCGAGGACACAAAAATGGAGGTGGGTGAGACAAGAATAAATGGCAAAAACCGCTCTAAAGACATTACACAGAGAGTGTGGGAAAATAAATCACTGGTCGACCTGAGTTCAAACCTACAACCTCAACACTGGTAGAGCAGAATAGCATACAGATCAGACTCGTGTTTGGAGGGCAGATGGTTGATTGTTACACAATTTGACAGTCTTGAAGGCTGTAATTGGCAAAATTGTCACTTAAATTTAAGGTAAAAGAAATATGTTGTCCTATGCACATACACATATTTTCCAGACACATCCAAGAACTCACACAAGTTTGAAACTTCCAACCAGAGTGGGCAGAGAAATATTGCTTTTTTTTAAGCTTGATAATAAGTTTCTAAATGGTATAAAAAGAACATTAGGCACTGAAGCTTGAATACTTTCTATATGCTAACGTGCCTACAATGGTAATGTTTTGAGCACTAAATGCAATATGCGGATGTGGCTGATGGGAATGTTATAGTTTTGCAGTGTTTAGCCATCCAAGTATGATGGCACGCAACGGGTGACACAACAAATGTCACTTGTAATGAAAAATGATTAAACAAAGTTATTAGAATTCCTTGTCTGGGAACCACAAATGTACAAAATTGCTGAAAAGGTATTTCAATCTGAAATGACAGACTGGTACATCAACACTGCCACTGCAAAAGTGGCTCTAGCATTGTTTAAAAAAACAACAACATTACATTCTAATACATAAGTATATAATAAACACCAAGTTTATTGGTTGAAATGAGCCCTTGATCATTTCGCACGAGTTAACCTTTCCACCAAATAAAAAGGTTTGGCATCATTGTCATCCATTACGCAACAGCTATTAAATGTTTGTTTTCTCTCCGCTGCGTCTGAGTTCTTCTTACCTGGCTGCTTCTCCGAATTTTACAAGTTAAAAGCCAGAATGATGTTGACACTACTTTACTGAGGACTGAAAAGAATAAAACCTGTTTACAAAGCAGAGTTAATGCAGTCAAGGCCAAATGCAGTCCTCTCCTGCCATGCATCTCCATGATCAAATGTACAACTCTTGTAGCCAAAGCAGACAGACCATAGTGATATTCCAACACTCCTTTCAGTGCTCTTTGCTTTGTTGCGCTATCCTCCACCAACCACATGCATATGAAGTACTCCACAGCCCTATATTTTTCCTGACGAACACGAAAACCTTAATTTCACCCCCTAAACACGCTCAAAAACTCTCCAAAATTGGCATGCACCTCCGAATCGGCGAAAAATTTGATAAAATGAAAAAAAAAAACACAAGAAAAGCTCTCTAGCGCCACCTAGTTACAGAAAAACACACTAAAACGGCCCTAGCGCCCAGTATCGTACCAAGATCAAATCAACACCAAAACGTTCGTCTCAAGAAAATTAGGCCATCTTCTTTTCTGTGCATCAAAACTCTGCAGTCAGACAGGACATGAGCTGAGTCATTATAAATAAGTAAGAGCAAGGCTAACCTGGTGCTCACCTTGAAACGTGTAGATGACATCCTGCCCCGAGGAGCCGAAACAGTAAATCAGAAATACACAAATGCCATGCCGGTAGAAAAATGCTAGTCTCTCCTACCATTAGAACAATGAAGAGTGCCTTTCCAGTCATCATCCTCCATTGTTCTGCTACATTCCTTGACCTTGTGTCAGCATGAGAAACCACGCCGTCATCAACACAACTGTCCAAAGTTCAGAAAAGACCCAAGTTCACGGATGAATGTGACAACGAAACAGAGCCCAGCTCTACCCAGCTGTCAAGGTAACATGTACACACAGCTGAAGTTTTCCCACAGAAACACGTCAGAAGCTAATTCCCTGTCAAATGCAGTGACAGAGCTATTCCAGTGGCCGAGAAAGACATTTGCGCTGCTGGAGTCATTACGAGACACACTGCAGCTTGTTCATAAAAGCAGCAAAACAACTTGTTCTGTAATCCTCTAAAAACCCTCTCCTCAGGCAGCTTTGTGCACTGATCAATGGCTGCTTTATCCTCCTTTGGCTACACAATGACTAAAATTTTCAAACTACTGCCCGGCAGCTATCTATATTACAAGCATGTGAGTTACATTTCTGCCGTGTGGAAACTGCATAAACCTTTCAGTGTCACAAACAGACCCTCAAAACATGACATAGTTGAGGTCTGATGGCTGCAGCACATGGTTTGAGCTGGATTTAAGCAGCTCTGTGGTCATGCTGTTTTGCTTTGTGAACTTACCCGAAGAAACATATGGCTCAGGACCTGCCGTGGGAAAAAGATATGACCAAGTAATGAAACTCAGGCTTGTAAACTGAACACCCCCTTCGGGACATCTTTTCTCAGCCCTGGAGTCTAGGTAACAGAAGTGTTAGGTTTCTTACAGTGTGGGTAGACCTTTCAGGGAGAAAATAACCCATTGGGGAGACTGCTTCAAGCCACAGAGAGTATCCGAGATAACAAAAATCTATTTCTGTCTTATATTTACTCCATCTTTGTTCCAACGATGCACTTTAAACAAGTTTATGCAGCTTGTAATAACGTGTGGTTTAGTTTTACACAGCACATTTTCTGAAATCTTCAAGATTACTATTACAAGAGCTTCTGTATCCTACCATTCTGTACAACACTGTCCACGTGTCCTCATGTGCTTTGAAAAGGAAACTGAAGCCAATCCACCTTTCATCCTGCCAACATTTCTTTCCAAAGCCCTCGTCCCTGCATTTGCTTTATGTCAGAGATCGCTGCAGTGGTGCACGGGTCTGAAGACTGATGTCAGCAGCCGCGTTGAACATTGACTCCACCTCGTCGAGCCAGATAGCTATTTGCACCACTGTGACTGCCAATAAATTGGTTAATGTGAAGCCTCCACTGTATGCGCTCGACAGCAGGATCGTTTATTCTGTAGAAATCAATCAGAAAGAGGAAACTTACCAACCCTTCTCTGGACTCTCGCTCTCCAAAATCAGGTATTTTTTTTCCTGCACACCAAAGCAACTGGAGGTACATAATTAAAAAGACAGCATTATCACATGAGAGCATGAGATGGCTAATTTGATTTCCTGAAGCTGGACACGAACCAAAAAGTGGTCAGAGATACAATGCAGAGTGCTCCTGCTTTTTAGTTTCAGTTACTGCATGGAAAAATAATAACGTACTACAGCTGACAGAAAAAAGTTAAAGATTTATTGTCCATTGAACATTTAACTTTGTTGACCTTTATATCAGCCGTTTTATGTGACATGGTATAATCAACAAATTTACATCACTGTCCAATCAAGCTATCCACACATAAGGCGTGAGCCGAACACTAAACGTTACTCCGACATTTTCATTAAGTATGTTTACGTTCTACTATCCTTTATCCTTGCTTTAAGTCACAAAGCCAAGTTCCTTTGTTATTCCAACACATAGTATGGTGTGTCTCAGTCAGATTGTTCAAATAACTACTGCTTCTCCTAAAACAGGAATTGCAGTGCGAACATGCTGTACAATTACTTGTTTGACCCACTACCTGTGTTGTTAGAGGGTTAAAAATAATTCTAGTGGGAAGCTTTATCACTTTCTTTAACTGTGTCAAAGATAAGATAACCGTCTTGTGCCAGATGTTCAAAAAACCATAAAGCTTAAGAATGAAAGCAATAAATTTTACGTCTGCATCTAGCAGAGTAAAGCACATTTTGGAAATATCCCAAAGTAGGAAATTCAGTTAGGCTGAAGCAGTTCTATTGCAAAGAATATTCATATTCTCTTTCTCAGTGTCTTAAGTTTCAGCTCTCCTCATTACATAAAACTGAAAGTTAAACAGATTGGTGGCCACTTGTAGAAAAACAAATCTCCTGATGCGTTCAGTAGTGGACCACGGTGGTCTCGGTGGCAAACTGTGCATAAACATTGACAGAGAAATGCAACCGCTCGTTTCCTTTATCTGCTTTCCACATATTTTATCCTTCCATCATGGATCAACATTGCACCTACTGGAAAGAAACTGCACTTAATACACTCCATTTGGCCATTTCTACAGGTACAGATTTCAGAAAAGGCCCCCAAAATATTTCCCCTCCAATTAAAAAGGAGGTGGCTCATTTTTCTTCACAACTAGGTATATTTTGAACCCTCAAAATATGAATTATGAGCTCATATAAACACTGAATCTATTCTAAAGAAGTTAAAACCTTACGTTCCATTATGTGTCAAATCACCTGGTGCCTGAATATTTATTTTCTTTTACATAAAGACATTTCAACCATAAACTAATGCAAAAAAAAGGCACTAATTGGAACTCCAGGAGAATAGCAAAAATAGTTTGATGCTCCCAACTCCATATATATATAAACTACACAAACTATTTAAACACTATATGCTACTCACCTACTTTAGAGGACGGTTTAAAAAAACAAAACAAAAACAAAATTCATACCATGTCACCGAACCCCACATGGACTACAGTTTGAACCATCCATCCATCCATCATCTATACACTGCTTAATCCTAACGAGGGTCACGGGGGGCTGGAGTCTATCCCAGCTGACTTAGGGTGAAGGACACCCTGGCCAGTCTATCACAGGGCCACACTTAGAGACAGACAACCAAGCACACTCACGTTCACACCTACGGACAATTTAGAATCACCTATTAACCTCAACATGTTTTTGGACTTGTGGGAGGAAGCCGGAGAACCCGGAGAGAACCCACGCTGCACGGAGAGAACATACGCTGCACGGAGAGAACATGCAAGCTCCACGCAGAAAGATCCCGGGTGTCCTCGCCAGGACGCGAACCGGCAACCTTCTTGCTGCGAGGCAACGGTGCCAACCACCGAGCCACCTTGCAGCCCTTATCTAAATCATTTGTTTTATAGAACTGTTTAGAATGAATGAATCGATCAAGTATCATGCCATTCATAAGCGATAATTTCTCCATCTGATCTGATCTTTAGCTTTCTGAATTGTTACTGTTGCCCGTTCCATGTGTACCCATGATGACAGTCCGTCTATCATTTTCATTCCGTCTGCCTTGTCCTCTCTTCAAATACATTTTTCCAGTTGTGACAATATATTCCAGGGTCTTTTTCCTTATGATGCATCCCAAAAATGTTCCTTGCCATTTCCCAATTTTGTTCAATAGCGTATAATTTGTGTTCAGTAATTTTAAAACATCTTCATTGCTTATTCTGTCCATATAAGATACACGTAGCATGCGTATATAAAAACCACATCTCTGCTGCAGTGATTTGGTTTGACATTTCAGTCATGAACTCCAGAATGAAAAGAGACAGTAAAGATGACACTGATGCTGTTCAATGTTCAATCCAGGGTCATCCATGACATAATAACCACATTATTCTTTGAGTCACAAATGCCCTTTTCAGGAGCTCGTCCATTTGCTCCTCTCGCTCTCTGCATCCCACTAGGGGCCCCTGCTGGTAAACATCCAGCTCAGTCTTTTCCTGAATAGCATAAAATTGTGATGAAGATTCTCACACAGTCTGTGCATAAAAGGTGTTTGAAAGTAGGATGAGTGCATGAAAAGGCAGATGCATAAAAAGATTTTTTATTTGTTATTATTAATATTAATGAATCACTTCCATTTTGGAAGCAGATGCATAAAGACATAGAAAAAAAAAAAAGTGAGACAAGCATAGTGGGCCCAAACAAAAACACAGCAACAACACAGAACCTTTTACTGAACAGACAGCATCTTGATTGTATACATACTTTGATCTTTCAGTTCCTATTATTGCTCCCCAGTCCGACAGGAAGAGTAGTGAATCACAAAAAGTTTGAAACCTAGGACAAAGCAAAAAGAAAAACAACAACAAAAAAACCCTCATCCCTTAAAACCTTGAAAATAAAAAGTGACAGGCAACTGCAGTTAGGACTAGTTACTTCTCATTTCAGGAATGTAACCAAAAAAGAATAATTTAATTACTTTTGGTTCTTCCCTTAAGCTAGGATGCATTGACCCCAACCACAGACAAGGATTTCAGTTTAAACTGAGTCACCTATGGAATGATGAGTTTACAAATATTTTCTGGGTCCATAACGGTCAAAGAGGTGTAAAAGCACTCATGGTTACATCGTATATTTCAACATTTCGTCTCCGTGTAAGCTGAGGTTATTCACATCAGAGAGACATATCAGAATATGTTTGTGGGAGCTTTTCCCCCAACCATAACCGTTTACATGTCAGATGTTTACAGACAGCATAGACACCGCTTAGATAGTGAAAGTACAGTTTAAAGAAAGAAAGAAAGAAATAATAATCAAAGAAAAGGAAAGCTTGAGTTCTACAGTAGTCCTTGTCCCTGGAGATGTGGATGTTTGCTCGCAGCTCAGTATGTAATCGTCCACTGCTTGACGCTGGCATCATGGGAGGTGGTGACTAGAGTGTGCTCGTCTATCCAGGCCAGACCGCTGACGTGGTGCAAACGGTGACAGTCTGCAGGCATCAAAGCAAGGAACAATCTTGTCACAAATAAGTCTGGACAGTCTTAACAATGAATGAGCTCAATTAAAAGATAAACATTTGAAGTCAAATTCAGTTTGCTTGACAATCAATACTTGGCCGAGATATGAGCCAAAATTCTTAAGATTTATGACGTCCAACCCTTTTCTGTTACTATGCGAGATTTCTGCTTCAAAGTAATAGTCAATTGCACCCCCAAACATTAGTTTCATTGGTAGAGGCCAGGGAGGATTTCAACTGTTGTCAAACACAAGAGATTTCTACAAAATAATGTATTTACCCAATTCAACCTCACATTTATAGTTTATTCTACTACAGTCAGTTAGTTTTGGTAACTAAAGCATGAATGGAAACTACATGCTCTAAATGTGTCTTAGACAAGCTCAAAATTTCCTGTTGCCTTTGTTTTTGCTTGTCTGGATATTCTGCAGAGTGTGTATACCAGGCATCAGTGAAGCATGTGTGTACTTGTATGGCTAACCTGGGAGTTTGATCCTCTGTTCTGCATCAGCAATCGTCCAGACATACACCATCATGTCCATCCCACCAGTCGCAAAGTGCTCATTATCAGGTGACCAGGCCAAACTCACTGGTTTGGCATGATGTCCATAAAACTTATTTTTGACCTGGGGAAAAGGACAACGGATTATTTAAAAAAAAAAAGAGAGAGAGAGAGAGAATACATCTAATTGTTGCAAAACTGCTGTTAGCACTGAAGAGGACAGGGAAATTTTTACCGAGTAGCCGTCTGCCACGCTATAGGCTGTGGCAACTTTCTTGTCATCAATGACAGCCAGATAGGCGCCATCATTGGAGTAGGCCATGTCTGTGATGGCCCCTGAGGCGTCTAGAGTTTGGCCCTCGTCCTTCAGAGTGTTGCCCTGAATGGAGTACAGATGGATTTTCTCATCCTGTAGAAAAAGAAAGAAAAGAATCCTCAAATCTAACAGCACTGAGATACGAAGAAGAGTGGGCTGTGTGGGTCCTGTGATGGTCCTTTAAATAACTTCTTGTTACACACAGAGTCATGCTGATGGTATTTTGTCTTCTGAACTCAAAGCATTTTAGGAAACAGAGCAAAGCTGACTAAACTCATGTTTGGCAAGATTATGCGTGCTCTTCCACTTACTTGTCCCCCCACTGCAGCAGTGGTGCCGCCAGGATGGATCACTCCAACCTCTGCTTCGTAGCCAAGATTGTCCAATGTGAAGATTTTCTTCTTATCCTTCAGCAAGACAACCTAGGAAAAGCAACAAATCGTTGTTACCAAACAAGGACCATCAAATATATGGTGTAAGACTTTCCAAATGCTGAAACGAGTGGAAACACTGGACAAAACATTTGCTTCAGCTAAGCATTCATGACTAAATCAAAGGCATTACCTGCCCAATGCACACAGCCAGGGACAGACCTCCCACTGCTGCTGACACACTTTTAGGCTGAACATCCATCTTCACCACATCAGAGGCACTAAAAACAAGCAGTTAGG